GTGCCCAAGAGCCCCGGGGCGCGGAGCCCCTCGCCCGGGCGGCCGGGGGAGGAGGACGAGCTGGCCCGCCGCTGCCGCTGCTTCATGGCCTCGCCCGTGACCGACCTGCGCGAGCTGCGGAGGAGGCCGGACGACATGAAGACCAGGATGGAGCTGCTGATCCTGGAGACCCAGGCCCAGGTGTGCCAGGCGCTGGCCCAGGTTGACGGGGGCGCCCGCTTCTCCGTGGACCGGTGGGAGAGGAAGGAAGGTGAGGTCGGCGCCGGGGGTGAAGACGGGCAGAAGGGCGGGACTTCAGGCGGCCGACTCGGAATAGGGGCGCGGTGGGAAGGGGTTACCTGCCCGAGGGAAACAGATTGACGCTGAAACGGCCTTCAGCCCTCTTCTTGCAGGCGGGGAACCAGATGTGCTGGCACTAGTCCTGGGCGTTTCCAGATCGTTGCAATTTTATAATGGCGTTTCTCGTAGGAGTCTTAGGGGTCTTTTAGCCAACAAGCGTGGATGTCCAGCTTTGTAATTGAGCGTAGATTTCCCCCATATTTCATCTCTTTCTCTTGGTGCGGTTATACCTTCCCCTCCTTTGGAGATGGAAAGAGAAACTTGACCCCCCTTTTCCAAGTGCCAGCCAGGCTCCCCCAGCTAAGGGTGTCACTGTGTCACTGTGTTGCTTCCCCGAGTTGCACAAGAGATATTTGATTGGTTTGTCGGTAGTTCTACAAAGTGCACCCATCTGATTTTCTGCTGGTATAGTCTTTCCTTCCAGTGGCAAATGCCTCAGTATTACAACCCAGTTCTTATATATTCGCGACATTTTTCGTACAGTACAGTGACACTTTGGTCATAAACTTGAAGGATTTCTGACTTCCCCACAGCAACTTCTCATTAGCTGGTGTTGGGCTATGATACTGTCACGTTTATATTACGTGAAGTTAAAGCTGGTTTTCAATGTTTTCCATCTTGGAGTGTTTTCAAGTGAAGACCGTTGAACCAGGACACAAAACCTCAACTACTAGACTAGCTGTGTGACCTTCAGAAGTTATTTAGCCTTTTTTGTGTGCCTCTATTTCCTCAGCTATGAAATAATATATGAGGGTATTGTAAGGATTAAATGAGATAAATACATGTAAGTGCTTAAAATATTGTCTGATACATAGAGAGCACTGAGCCAGACCCGGCCACCCTCCAGCTGTGTGTTCTTGGAGAAGGTGTTTGCCTTTTTGTGCTTCAGTTTTCTCATTTGAAATCCACAGTTGTACTGGATCATTTTATGTCCCATCCAGCTCGAAAAAGTCTTAGAGATAAAACAACTCAAACATGCTCCTTTATGAAGCAGTTGCTTTTGTGGTAATTCTAATGTCTTAAAAACGCACAGAAGGGTTACTAATAGTAAAGCTCATATACCTAAATGTTACTGTTTGTCTCACTCAGTTTAGGGTTCCAAATCCCCTAAGTTATCGAATATCTACTGTTTTTCAGTTGCCTGTAAACAAAATGAAAAGGCAAACCCCAAGAACAATTGAAACAATATGGAGCTCTTAAATTCCATAATAATAGAACAGTCTTCAAATATACCCATTTCTGTTTTTAACCTTAGTTTTCTCTCATATATCATAACCAAAGCAGTAGTATTTAAAGGGAAAATGTTCCAGTGATTTATTTTAGATGATGGCATAAAAATGTAGGAGAAATATTCAGTTTGGTGATTTGGGGAGATAATATTTGCCTACCATCAGCAGCAGATGTAATAAAGCTAAGCTAATTATCTAATTTTATGGTACCTGAAAATTATAAATATACAGATATTATAGAAAATAGAGGAGGAAAATAACTCCTAGTCCCCTGTGTCGTGCAAGGGTTGTTTTCAGTTTTGCACTTTGTTTTCAGCTTTTCATTCTCTCCTCATTTTACATTTCTATAAACAGGAGGTGGGGGCATCAGCTGTGTACTTCAAGATGGGCGTGTTTTTGAAAAGGCCGGGGTGAGCGTTTCTGTTGTTCATGGACATCTTTCTGAGGAAGCAGCAAAGCAAATGAGAAACAGAGGAAAAAATCTGAAGACTAAAGATGGTAAACCAGTCTCAAAAGCCTTTCGTAGTTGCTGCAAACTGCTTTTCCCCACAAGTTTTATTTATAAAATAAATATTGCTTCTGTAAAAAGCCATTTGGGTGCATATGCCCGATAAGCATGTTCACAATTCCTTTTTTTAAAATTATATTTTAGACAAATTAAAAAGCGGCCCTTGAAAATTGGTCCAGAAAGCATGTTGGAGGTACTTTATATCAAGCAAGGTGATTGAGGGCAACTCACTGTGTGTTTTACTTTCCAGGTAAATTGCCATTTTCTGCTATGGGTGTGAGCTCTGTTATCCACCCCAAGAATCCTCACGCTCCTACTTTCCATTTCAACTACAGATACTTTGAAGTAGAAGAAGCCGATGGTAAGTGTGTTTAGAGCTGTGGAAAGTACTTCTGTGCCAAATGTGTATTTTAAAACAGGTTAGAAGACATAATATCTAGTAGCGAGAAAGAATAAATATAGTCTTAACTAGATTTTTCAGGAGGCATATGACGGCTTGTTCCTTGGGAGGTGTAATGAATTATGCACTGGACATGAAAAATAAAAATGGTATTAACTGGTCTCTGACCTCCTCCATATTTCCTCCAATACAGAGGGAATGGTTTAATGAACCTGAACTTAAAGTGCACACATGGTTCTTTGCAAGTATAAACTCATTACAGCCAAAGGAAAACCTGATGTGTGCAAGGTTAAGTTGAAATTGAGAACTTGCTTTTGGAAAATATCTTCCACATGCAAAGCTTTGCCAGTCACCAGTGCATCATGAGATGGGGTGCAGTTGATCCTGCCTCATTATGCAGGTATAGTTCTGGCCTAGGTCTCCTGCTTCCTGGGTCAGAGCACCTGTGCAGTGCCAAGCCATTCCTGTTGGTGTCTCTAGGTGATGGCATTTGAAGTCAGTGTATTTAACTTTTCATTTTTAAGCCACTTAGTTTGAGTCAGCCTTTTAAGGTTTAAAAACTGGCAACTGGTACTGACAACCTATAGACCTAACTAAGCACATGAAATAGTTATTCTCAAATGGTAAGTTGTCTCCTTCAGCAAGTGTTTTTACCCTTTTTAGGGGAAAGGGAAGACAGTGGCAATACAGGGAGCATAAGAGTCTCCTGTTTTTGTTTTTTTAAATAAGCTATAGATCCCTGAGCCAGATACTTATTTTTTGTTTGTTTGTTGTTTTTTTAAATTGTGACCACCAGCGGCATTTTAAGCTTCTCATGTGGTTTTAATATGCAGCCAGAGTTAAAATCCACTGTCTGGTCCACCTGTGTGGTGTTTGATCATTCCCTGCCATGTGTTTCATTTCCCTGACTGGTTCTACTCTCTCCTATTTTAATTTCCTACTTCCTCTGCTTTCCTACCCAGGCCTTACGGGCCATGCAGAGCTAAATTCAGTTGAAAAATATTTTGTTTTATTTAGAGAAAGGAAGAGGGAAGGAGGTAAAAGAGAGAGGAGGGGAGGAGGGAGAGAAAAAAAGAAATCAATTTGTTGCCACTTATTTATTCATTATTGGTTGATTCTTGTATGTGCCCCAACTGGAGATTGAACCTGCAACATTGGCGTATCCGAATGACTCTCTCACCAGCTGAGCTACCCGGCCAGGGCCCATTTGAAAGTTTTTTGTTTATCACCCATTTCATGCTTAATAAAGTAAGCCGATAAATTGTTTGCTAATAGAATAGTGTGATGCATCTCCAAGTCCAGAGTCCAGGTCATATTTACATGTCTTGATTTGGTAGGTAACAAGCATTGGTGGTTTGGTGGGGGAAGTGACCTTACTCCCACGTACTTGAACCAAGAGGATGCTGTCCATTTTCACAGAACTCTAAAGGAGACTTGTGACCGGCATGGCCCAGATCTCTACCCTAAATTTAAAAAATGGTAGGTAAAGGTATTGAACTTGTCATGATATTTAAAGTACATTCTGTTCCTTACTAAATACCTTTTTTAGCATATGAAGGTTGAACTGTTTTCTTCACCCACCAGAAGTGGGATACCAGTTTTAAATGGTTTTCATAAGTTATTGACTTAGGAATATTTGAATGTCTGCAATAAAAATTGCGTAACAGCATCTTTTTTTATTCCAAATGATTTAGAATATTAACTTTAAGGTGATTTACGCTTGTGAATCCAAGGCTTTTTAATCCTCTGGTAGGATATAAATCCTCATTCCAGATGAGACTTGTGTCTTTGTTGCCATGGGAATGTATGAGAGCATAGGAAGAGTAGGAGAACTGTTAGGGACAGATGCAAATGTACCAGAAATGTTGGACTAGGAGAAAGGTGGAACTGGACACTTTGTCTCTAATTAAAACAAAAACGAGTAGTGAGGAGACCCAGGGTCTTTGGTAGATGTGAACTGGAGTCTAGGCATAAATTGCTTCTGAAGGCAGCAGCATCACTTGTTTCAAGAAATACAGTATTAAAACTGGGCTGTTTATTTATTTTTTCATTAAAGGCCATAAGAGTCCGTATGCTTTAGATGGACATTGGTGCTAACTGCAGGAAATCTAAAGCCCTATTTCGTTTTCATAGTTGGACAAAGAGTAAGGACACTGCTGGCATTAGTCAAGGATGGTGCTCTAAGTGGAAACACTCACACTGATTTTCGTGCCTCTGTTTTTTCCCCCTTTGATCCCTGATTTGGCCTTGCTCTGTTTTCCAGGTGTGACGATTACTTTTTTATAGCCCATCGTGGGGAGCGCAGGGGCATTGGGGGTATCTTTTTTGATGACCTTGACTCTCCATCCAAGGAGGAGGTGTTTCAGTTTGTGCAGAGCTGTGCCCAGACTGTCGTTCCTTCTTATATTCCTCTTGTGAAAAAGCACTGTGATGACTCATTCACCCCTCAGGAGAAGCTGTGGCAGCAGCTCCGGAGAGGACGGTGAGTGATCGAGGGGAATAAACCGGCTCATTGTATAACTGGGGGGAGGTGGAGCAGCTGTAGTAACAGTGGGTGTGTATTGTCAGAGTTGTGTTAATAACCTAATTTCTTTTCATAACTAGATGAATATTAAATGAATAAAAGAACATTGTGTAATATAGTATAGAAAGAGCAAAGTGTATTTCATTCGTCTACATCAGAGATTCATAGTAGGCATGCAGTAATACTTGCTGAATTTAGTTCAGCTGATTTCTTTTAGTTAGTCTTTAAGCAATACCCTCCACCCTTCTACCAAGATAGTGGGTATCATTGAATATTTTTGCTGCTTTGTAAATTTGGAATCACACCTTTTTTCATTCATCGTTAATGTTTCGTGGAAGTTCTTTAAATGAAGATAATTTTAGGAATTATTTACACTCAATGATAATATTTACTAGTTATGGAGTCCTTACTATGCGCCAACCCATATATGAGGCAGTTTGCATCTTTTTCTCCACAAACTTGTTAGGTTGGTATAATCATTATCATTTTATAGATGATAAAACTTAGAAAGGCAAGTTCCTTGCCCAAGATTACACAGCTGGTACATAAAGATCCCAGATGTGGAACCAGTTTATCATGACTTCAAAACTTGCAGTCTGCTCTGTGCATTGAGCTTGGTGAGCTCACTTGGGTGATAGTCGTGATATTATCTTTAGCTGGGGTATACTTGTGAATCAGCTCCAAATTATCCATTTCTCCAGCTCACATGAGTTTCTTATTGCCATCTTTTTATTTTTTTTAAATATATCTTTGTATTGAGTTCAGAGAGAGGAAGGGAGAGAGAGAGATAGAAACATCAATGATAAGTCATTAATCAGCTGCCTCCTGTGTACCCCCCTACTGGGGATGGAGCCCGAAACCCGGGCATGTGTCCTGACCAGGAATCGAACCGAGATCTGGATCATGCATGGTCAATGCTCAACTGCTGAACCACGCCAGCCGGGCTCATTGCCATCTTTATTGCATGTATACTACTGGTCCATGGCTATAAAATGGGTTTTCTCATTTGTTTTCATTCTGTCTCAGGCATATGAATCTTTGGGTACTTAAGAAGGTAAGGCTAGTGCCAGAAAAGTTCCACTTAAATAATGCTCCAAGTCTAAAGATAAATGTTTGTGTTTATTTTTCCTCGTGACTGCCTGTGCTGTCTGGTCCCTGTTTATAAACATGGGAAAATGAGTTGATTAACTTTTCTTCTTTTTTTTTTTTTTTTTTT